GGGTCGCCCTCTTCATTTAATGGTAGGGGAAGCACTGCTTTGCTACCCGTTAACAGACATACCAAATTTTGTAAAAGCTGGCCCACTAATCATGGGTTAAAGTGAAAAAAATRTTTTGACTGAAATACTTTTCATAAAGGTGACATGAGCATGAGAGGTGACAGATCCTTTTCTGTAGCAGGTCCAAAACTGTGGACTGATCTACCATTACATGTCAGACAGTCTCCTTCACTCACTGTCTTCAAGTCTTGTTTAAAAATACACTACTACTCCCTTGCCTTTGAGTATGAGTGAGATGGTGCAAAACCTCACTGTGTATCATAACCCAGGATTTACACTACATGCGTCTCCGCTCCGCTGCGCTGCACTGCGCAGCGTAGGTTGCAGCTTTTCGTTTGTGTCTCAACTTATACAGCCTCCGCTCCGCTCCGGTCCGACAGACGTGCAGGAAGCAGATCGTGTGGTAAATTCATTGATAAATGTGGAAGTCACAGCAAAAAATAATTAGTTCTGTGAAAGACGAACTCCAAACACAGCTGAAAACATTGATATAAAGGTTTTTGATATCTATGTTGAAACTGTCTCGCTGTCGTCTTTCTGAAACTCGTGTGTGTACACATGTGTGCACTGTTTGGCCAGCTTCATCTGCAGAATGACAATCAGATGGGAGCTGCGGCCCCACTCTTACTCTGAAATATTTCAAACTTTAGTCAAATGTTTCTGCGGTTTAATAAACATTTCCTAAAAGTGCAACATAAATCTATTCAGTACTTTTGTGATATAACCCTGAGAATACAGCTGGATAACTTTAGCAAAACTTCCCCGTTGTCAGGGAAACTGTAAACATCCGGTCACCACCGGCAGAAAGTGGCTTCCTGTGATGATCCGATCAGAGCTGAAACAGCCTTTAGGAGACACGTTACCAAAACTGCCTGATAGAGGGACAAAAAATGTACAACATACTCAAAGTCCAACATTTTCTGTGCAAAACTTTGACTTTAGTGAACAAAAAACGCTCCTTCAGCACTTTCTGACCTGATGAACGACAGTTCACATGACCACCCTCCAGATGTCAGCAATCCATGTGCACGGATTGCAGAAACCATGCCCTCAGTTTAGTAATCTGTGCGCTCAGTTTAGTAATTCATGCGCACAGATTTCCAGTGGCTGTTTTTTTATTTTTTTCTCCCAGTGACCTCTCACAGGCTCCATAGCATCTGAATGTACATAATTTGAAATTGAATGCGTTGGTTTGAAAATGGATTTTCCTAAATTGAAACTGAATTTAAAGTTTTGTATCTGAGTTAATTTGCTTTGAAACTGTATTTTGGTCAATTAAAAATTTCAATTTGACCACTTTCACTTTCAGTTCCAAAATTCAGATTTTTGTGTCACACATCCTGGTCCTTGAGAAAGCCAGCCAGAGTAATCAAACACAGATCCACAGATTTACATTTCACTTTGGTGAAGCCTCCCTTCTGAAATGTAACAGAGTTGAGGCAATCCACATGTAAAAGTGACAAAAAACAGACAGTTATTTTATTGCACTGATTAATTTTACTTATATAAAATGTTACATTTACATCACATACACAACGTATGTTGTGACTTGGCGCTATATAAATAAACTTGAAACTTGAAACATCCCATCATGGATCAGTCAGCAGCAGCATTTGATCAATTTGTGATCCATGATGTGATGTGAATAACATTTTCTACATATTGGTAAAATTAATCACTGCAACAAAATAACTTTGTTTTTGTCACTTTTACATAGATTGCATCAACTCTGTTACATTACAGAAGGGAGGCTTCACCAAAGTGAAACATACATCTGTGGATCTGTGTTTGATTACTCTGTCCGGCTTTCTCAAGGACCAGGATGTGACACAAAAATCTGAATTTTGGAACTGAAAGTGAAAGTAGTCAAACTGAATTTTTAATAAACCAAAATACAGTTTTAAAGCAAATTAATTCAAATTCAAGACTTTAAATTCAGTTTCAAACCATCAAATTCAGTTTCAGTTTAGTGACATTTATTTTCAAACCAATGCATTCAATTTCAAATTGTGCACATACAGATTCAATCTGAGCAATTCAAATTCAATTCCTGCTGGCACAAGATTTATCCCATACTGCAGACTGCTTCACCTGCTGGCTTTACTGACCCGCCCTGCTCCACTCTGCTCTGATTGGATAAAAGTGCTTTGGGGTTTGTTTCAGTTGTTGAACGTAGTGGCACGTTTACAGGTAGACTGGGCGGCTTTAACAAGACTGCAACAGAAAACAACCAGAGTGTTTTCTTTTTCTCCCTCCCTTACAGATGATGGAAATCCGTCCTGGCGACAGAGAACTTAAAGCCCTGACTAATTGTCCACTAATGGTATTCAAAGTTAGTCAAAGTTACAAATCTGAATCATTTAAAACTATAAACTGAATAAAATCAATCAAAAATCCAATACTTGCATTATTCTGTGTTTTTGCTGCACAGATGTGCAGAATACTGTACATGACATAAAAACATTAAATTCATTAAATCTTTGTTGTTCTCTTGCTTAATCCTGGTGTTAGCATTAGCATTAGCATATGATCTAACAGCCTGTTGCTTTCAGGCTAATTATCAGTCTTCTAGTTTTTAGTTCAAAATTCTTCAGTTTTGTTGAGAAAAAAATCTGACTTTGTTTTTCTGCTCGTTAATGTGTCTGTCTCGTCAGGCGCATACGTCCCTGAGGGCCTGCTGACTTCCTGTACGTGGGACTATATGACCTTTACCCCGTCGGTGCGAGCGTACACCATGCTGCTCTTCATCTTTGTCTTCTTCCTGCCACTTTTCATCATCATCTACTGCTACATCCTAATCTTCAGAGCTATCCGCATCACCAACCAGTCAGTTTAACTTTGCAGTTTTTTCATCCTCTTTGTTTGACTAAAATAAGTGATAACACATTCTCAAAATTAGCCAGAATTTAGTTTTAAACTTTAGTAATTTCTTAAGGATGCAAAACAATTTTTTTGGTAATTCTTGTACAGTTTGTTCTGAATTACTATGGTTAGCCTACAGTGTAATCTCTAATGTCAGGTAACAAGGATGGACGTCTAGATTTGCAATATGTACCTAAAGTGAACTGTGTCCAATCAGCTTTTGTATGTTTCAATGTGTATTCAGGGGGGTGGGGAAGATTAATGGCAGCACCCACAGTCACAGCAGTGCTCGAGACACAGGAAAAGCATTTCACCGGCTGCAGAACGAGTGGAAGATGGCGAAGATCGCTTTGATCGTCATCCTGCTCTACGTCATCTCCTGGTCCCCGTACTCGACCGTCGCACTAACTGCCTTTGCTGGGTAAAATATTCTAACATTTCCTAAAGGCCCTGTCACACTACAACAGTTTAGACAACTCACGCCAACATGTAAACATTTTGCAATGCATAAATTACACACATTACAGTTTGTACACGTAGGTCCAAAAGAGGCTTCTAGAGGATTTTTTTCATTCCATCTTCACTGTAAACAACTTCACTTTTGAACAAAATTTTCACAATTTGGCTTAATTTCTCTGAAGTTTTTCATGACAGGGTCTTAAATTACACTTTTGCATAGATTACACATTTCACATCAAAAGCCTTCAACATCAAATGTAAAATTGAAATTCTAATAAGTTTACAAAGCAGAAACCTTGGCACCTATGATCAAAATGTGTTCACTGATGTTATGTTTTTCTTTTGCATCAAATTTAGTTTAATTCAGTTTATTTATATAGCGCCAAGTCACAACATACATTGTCTCAGGGCACTGTACATAAAAAGAATAATCTAAAAAAGAAACCAGCAGGCTGTGTTTAATCACTTCATCACAGTCTCCCATCCTGAGCAAATGGTGGAGAGGAAAAACTCCCTGCTAATCAGGAAGAAACCTCCAGCAGAACCAGGCTCAGGACAGGAGACCATCTGCCTCGACCGGCTGGTTGAGGGACATGAAAGAGACACAGGTAGACACAGAAGAACTGGTCCAGGTGCACCTTCTTCTGGAAGAGACAAAGAAAAAAACATTATTGATAGAAATTTTTACAATAAACATGTAGAGAAGAGAGACTAAAGACAACAGCAGAGTGAGGAAATGTGCTCAGTTTGTGCTCCAGCAGTCTAAGTCTATAGCAGCAGAAATGAAGAATAATTCAGGAAACCTAAGTCTAACTATAGGATTTATCAAAAAGGAAAGTCTTCAGTCTAATCTTAAAAGTAGACAGAGTGTCAGCCTCACGGACAGAAACTGGAAGTTGGTTCCACAAGAGAGGAGCTTGATAACTGAAAGCTCTGCCTCCCATTCTACTTTTAGAAACTCGAGGAACCACAAGTAAACCTGCAGTCTGAGAGTGAAGTGCTCTGTTAGGAAAGTATGGAACCATAAGACGTTTAATACATATATGATGGAGCTTGGTCATTAAGAGCTTTGTGTGTTAGGAGTAATAATTTAAATTATATTCTGAATTTGACAGGGAGCCAGTGGAGAGAAGCTAAAACTGAAGAAATATGATCTCTCATTCCAACTCTCTTTAAAACTCTAGCAGCAGCATTTTGTATTAACTGAAGACTTCTTAAAGAGGTTTTTGGATGCCCAGATAATAAAGAATTACAGTAATCCAGTCTAGATGTGATAAATGCATGAATCCGATTTTCTGCATCATTTTTGGACAAAAAGTTTCTAATTTTAGTGATATCACGCAGGTGGAAGAAGGCGGTCCTGGTAACATCATTAATGTGGGGGTTAAAAGACATGTCCTGATCAAAAATAACACTAAGGTTCTTTACATTAGAACTGGAGGCCAGATTAATCAAATCTGATCAAGTTGCAAGCAATTTTTGGATTCAATTGCAGGATCATTTTCCACTTTATTTTAATTTTGATTCAGTTAAAGTTATTTTGTTTGCTGAAGTCTTTCAGATCTCATTCTGAGATGCAGATAGATGTACAGAGAATATTTTACAAATTCAGTGAAAGTAGTTTTATTCAGATGGAAATTAAAGCTATTGAAGTTTCTGCCATTGTTCCAAGATTCTACATGGCTCTTTTAAAAGTTCATAACATACTCGTGAAACCTTTTATATTTTCCATCCATCCATTTTCTGTACACGCTTCTTCCCTTCAGGGTTGCGTGGGTCACTGGTGGCCATATCCAGCAGTCACAGTGCGAGGGGCGGGGTACACCCTGGACAGGTCGCATGTCCATCACAGGGCCACACATAGAGACAAACGAGACAAACAACCATTCACTCTCTCACTCACACATAGGGACAATTTAGAGTTATCAATTAACCTAACAGTCATGTTTTTGGTCTGTGGGAGGAAGCCGGAGCGGCCGCAGAGAACCCACGCATGCATGGAGAGAACATGCAAACTCTACCCAGAAAGGTCCCCGGGCTGGGATTTGAACCGGCAACCTTCTTACTGAGAGGCATCAGCTCTACCAACTGAGCCACAATGCCGTTCCTTTTATAGTTTAGAAAACATAAAAAAGATGAAAATGAACCATATCAAATGTTGCAGTTTAAAGGAGTTTATTAACATTTTTTAGACATACAATTTTGAAATGTGGGTACACACTCAATGTAAACAAAACACTCAACTAAATTAGCTAAAAACCATGTGGAAGCTTCAGTCACACAATTGACCTATATTACACTGACCTGAGATAAATATGGTAAAATTAGTCAAGATGGAGAATACATATGTTTGGGTGAAAATATTAGTCCATGGGTTATTGTGGATCACCATGCACCCTTCACCCTACTGAACTTCTCTGGTATTTTCATGTACCCTAGGGTCCTCTCTTTCAGAAAATGCATGTTAACAGGAAAAATTTTAGGTTCCACTGCCCCCCAGGGACCCAGTTTTTGACCACACCTCTTTTTCATTGTGACAATCACAGTTAGGGCCACAAAAAGCTTAAAGGCCGATAACTTCGTTTTAACCCAAAGGTTTATAAAGTCAAAAGCTCACAACCCTAACAGAAGATGAAAATTTTCATTTTTTTAGAATCTGCTGTTAATGTGGAAAAAAACGAGTAAGTAACACAGCTATCAACAATTAATGTTCTAGATCAGGCTGAGCATCATAAAGTCATGGCTGGGCTTATAAACACACAAAACTTTAGACTCATGAAAGGGGCGCTGTAGATTTTATTCATTCATTCAGACTATTCATTGGCTACAGCAAACAATTCATTTAGGCTTTGAGTGAATTTAAAATGTGGTGATGCACATCTCTGGGGTTAAAGGGTAGAAATGTAAAAAGATGATAAAACTTCAGGGGATGGTGGGGAAATTCTATCTTTTGGATCTGCTGCATTTCATAGCAGCTAAATTTGTCTTATATTTTCCAGGAAACAGCTAAATTAATACACACAGAAAAAAAGCATGTGGTAGTTAGTATCTGGTCAAAAACTTTGCTATTTTTTTTTTTTTTTTCATTTTAAGGACACATAAACCATTGATATAAAAAATGTGCAGATTTAGCTTTTACTTTTTGGTCTTTTTTGTCTAGTCTTTGGGACATTGCAATAAATATCTTTTATTCACTTTTTTTATCAGTTTGCTTGACGCATGTAACTGGATGTGCGATTAAAGAGCATGTTTTATTCTAAAACATTTATCAAACATCCCAGAATTAGTAGAACAAAGCAAGTTATTTCAGTAATGAGGCTTCCTGATTGGCCCCTGACAGATAAATAAAGTATCTTTGGTTCTGAATCTTAGAGAACAAAACTCTTTGTTCTGTTTTTTATTTTATTTTATTTTTTCTGCTGCAGGTATGCTGACATGCTGACTCCTTACATGAACTCTGTTCCTGCTGTCATCGCCAAGGCCTCGGCCATCCACAACCCCATCATCTACGCCATCACACACCCAAAGTACAGGTAATAAACTCACTGTGTCCACAGGTGCAATCAGTGACGTCCACTTCACCTCTAAATGTTGGGTTAGGACATGGGTCAAAGGTCAGACAACTCACAGTATCTGGGCTTTCAACAGTTTGGTTATCATTGTTTTAAGTAAAACGTAAGAAATGGTAAAAAATAAATAAATAAAGCGGCCAAATGTCACTTTAATAAAAACAGCAGATATGTATATTGCGAAAAAATTTTACATTCATGTTTTTTTTCATCGGTTATAGTCGTCAAATTCAAACAGAAAATCTCTGCTGTAGACTGTGAAACAGGACTATTTTAGGTTAATTAAAAAAATACTTTGGCTTGGTTTCCTGTTATTTGACTCGTTTTAATATGATCAGAACTTGTTGAATCATCTAATCGATCTGGTCTTTCTCTGATCTCTGACATCTCGATTGAGATTATTAGTCCCTGTTAATCTGGATGTTAAGTGGGTTGGAGAGAATTAAATAATCACAAATGTCAGCAGAACACAGGACACTAGGGGTGGGTGATACTATTTTTGGTATCAAACCAATACCAAGTAAATAGTATCATCAATACCGATACTTGTCATTTTCATTGAACAGTTATGTGATTTTGCCTTTGGTTATTTTAGGGAAGTAAAATCTTTTTCAATAACTAACTACAACAATATAAACAATGTAATAGTTGCTACCTTCAACTACAGCTATTTAAGAAAAAAAATCACTAGTTCAAAATAACAAAAAAGAAGCAGCAATGTAACAAAAATATAAATATAAGAACATGATGTCCCAGTGGCTTTCAAACCCCAAAACACATTACGGCAAAGGCTGGTTCACCCCAAAGATCCGGTGCCCCGGCACAAACAGAGCAATGTTGTATATGCTGTGAAGTGCCAGGAGGACTGCGACCAGTTATACATCGGGGAAACAAAGCAACCACTGTTCAAAAGAATGTCCCAACACAGACGAGCTACATCTAATGGCCAGAACTCTGCAGTTTTCACTCATTTACAGGCCAGCGGTCACTCTTTCAGAGATGAGGATGTTCTCATTCTTGATAGAGAGGAACGTTGGTTTGAGAGAGGAGTAAAAGAAGCCATTTTTGTGAAGAAAGACCGTCCATCATTAAACAGAGGTGGAGGCCTCCGTTTTCAGTTGTCCCCCTCCTACAGCGTTGCTATTGCCAGTATCACTCCACCCCCTGTTAACAATAAGTGTTAATTAGGTGTCAACGATAGTCATGTGATGTGAGTATCAGTCACATGGAGGCAGGACATAAAAGCCTGAATTTTGCCTGAAACTCTCAGACTGAAGAAGTCTCTTGGAGGAGAGACGAAACGTTTCATTAGAGAAGAACCCGTCCAGAAGACCTATACAGTTTTTTTCTTTTTGATTTTTTACCTGGATTACTGAGATGCATCAGGACATAAATATAAGAATGTCAATACAACAAAAAATAACTTCCACTGCATGCAGACATGATGTAGATGACTAAAAATCAACTCCAAATAATTTGGTCTCTGCACTACTGACATTTTTCCCTTTATTTGTGATAAATGAAGCCAGTAATGCAAATAAACTGTAAATAGAATCAATTCCACAATGCTAGTATCGATTCAATCCGATACTCATCTTGGTATTGATAGTATTGATACTAGTATCAATTCGCCCACCCCTACAGGACAATGACATTTTAGGTTATTCAAGCTGGATTTACCTACAATTTGGTGGTCTTCGTTCTCCTCTGACTCTGGGTCGGACTCTGGCTCCAACATGTAAGGCTGGATGGACAAGTCTTCCCTTGTTGACATCTTTTCATTCATTTGTTAAAAAAAAGTTTCTGTGCCGCTATATATTTTTAAACCCCTTTATCAAACTAGACGGGACCACTCTGGAAGCTGGAGGAGGGCAGGATGTAAAACACCTCATTTGAATTTAAAGAGACAGCCTCAAAACGAGTTGATCTGACACACCCCAGAAAAGGGCTTGTGGAGTTACAACAAGGGGCAATTCAGACCAAAGCATTGCAGTTCCACTTTATATAGACCCCAACTGAATGATTTAAATATAAAAAAGAAGGATTTAAAAGCAGGATATGTCTACTTTATTGTGGATGATACTGTTATTCATTGGCATCTCAAAGTTGTTTAATTTTTTTTATATTTATGTGCACCGATTTGAAGGGAAAATATCTGTTTAAAAAAAGGTCTGAAGTATATCTTGAAGTAGTAAAACATAGACCTTTATCTTGCTCTGTTTTGCAGGATAGCATTAGCCAGGTACATCCCATGTCTGGGCGTTCTGCTCTGCGTGCGTCCTCGTGACCTTCGCTCGACCAGCAGCAGCTTCGTATCGACCCGTCGCTCCACTGTGACCAGCCAGAGCTCTGACATCAGCAGCCAATACAAGCGGCCGAGCACCCGAAGGTCCCGCCTCTCCTCCGCCTCCGACAGCGAATCAGTGAGTTTGAAGCTTCAACAATCAACCAGAAAACAAACAAACAAACAAAAAAACTTTAAACGAGGTTTTTGATGTCTGTGCTTTCCTCTGCAGGGTCTGACAGACACCGAGGCCGACCTGACCAGTTTAGGCTCCCGACCAGCCAGCCGCCAGGTTTCCTGTGACATCAGCAGAGACACGACTGAGCTGCCTGACATCAAACACTCCTCCAGCTTCAAGTCCAAGTTAAAGAATCACGACTCAGGCATCTTTGAAAAGGTATTTGTCAGTTGTGTTGTCTTGTGTTAAAGACATCTTGTCTTTTGACAGATTTGTTGTAGAAGATATTTTGTTGCCCCTTTTCCAATAGTGTCTCTACAGCACCGTTCCACTTGGCTCTCCACGGTTCCAAGGTTTTTCCACTAGCAAGGATGCATGAAACCAGACACTTATTCAGAACGTACTCTGCTGTGGTTCAAAGTGTACCACGCTGGCCTGAAAACACAGCATCAGATAACTGTCTGTCACTGATTGGTCAGGAGGTGGAGTCAATGGCTGCGTTACAAGAGCTACTCTCATAACAACTTGATCCACCATTTGCAATAACACTACCATGTCCTCTATTGCTGTTGCGCATCTTTTCAAGGTCTTCTTCTATGTTTAATCATGGATGGCAAATAGCTAAATGGAGCATAACCATCACCAGCTGGTAAGGCATGTGGCGTCAAAGAGGAGCTAGTGCAAATGGGGCATTTGTGGAATCAGTAGCCTTTGTCAGCACAGCACTGAAGAGCATCACATCCTGCTGCATATCATTTAGCTGAAAATGATCTGTTTACAGAAACCGGTTGTTAAATGAGCGATAAGGATAGCTTCAAGGAGCAGCTGTTGTTGTCTTATTGAGCCCTAGGGCTGAACGATTAATCACATTTGCGATAATCTCACGATATGTTAAAATGAGATTTTCTAACGACACAGGCTGCGATTTGACTGGTCACGTGACTTGGGAGTGAGCCGAGCGGAGCAGTGTTGCTAACTTAGCGTCGCTAGATATAGCGACTTTTCAGACACCTCTACTGCCTTTTTTCCCCCAAAAAAAGCATCAAATCTGGCGACTTTTCCCCGGGTTTTTGGAGACTTTTAGAAGCTTTGGTGACAGCACTTTTCTCCTTTTCTCCCCCGTGAGTTATGCGGTGAGCCCCTCCCCCTCCCTAAAGCGGTCCGACTCACCTCGTACAGCAGCGCGCGCACATACACAACACACACACACACACACACACACACACACACACACACACACACACGGCTGTTGTCAGATGAGAGGAGACCGCTGCAAATGAATCTTGCATGTGCAAAGTTGCCACTGCTCTTGCCTTGTTTCTAAAGTGGGATACAATATTTACGGTAATGTTTTTTTTTCCCTCTGGTACTGTCTCTGTAAAATAAATGTCTGGACCCAGCTGTGTTTGACTCACAGATCAGCTTCACCTCGTCCTCCCTATGCCTCGTGATATCTAACAGTCTGCGGATTGAATTTAAGACTCCCACAAATTTAATTTATGTAATGTGGGTATAAAATTATTTTTATTTCATTAAGTTTAATTTTCATTTTAAACATATTTAGATTCACTTTTTCTCTTTAACATCTCTTCTATAGTTCAGATCACAATTACTGGCAAACATATGAGGTGATGATGTAATCTAGTGACTTGAGTTTGATTTTTCTAGAAAATAACGAGTTGTTTACAGTATATTCTTCATGTTTTTTGCACTTTATTTTTTTTCATGGTTACTCTTTTAAATTTATATATTTTTCTATTTATTTATAGACTGTCCTGTGAAGTTCAGACAGTGTTTAGGAAGTTCCCTTAACATGTTTAATATGTTTCACGAAACAAGAAAAATTAGAAAAGGTGAAAAAGTAAAGCCACAGATACGTTTGCTTTATGATTATCTGTGCTTTAAATAAATCTTACTTTGTTTATTATAAAACAGACTGATTTATTTCTTCTGTTTGTTGAAAAATACTTGAGAAGACAAAAAAATAATTGCATTTTAAATCGCAATTTTTAGATAAAAAAAATCGCTATTAGATTATTTTCCAAAATCTTTCAGCCCTATTGAGCACTCGAACCTGCCACCGACGTTCATTCATTCATTACATTTTCACGGTTAACAAGAAAAGAAAACAACTTTTCCTCCTCTGATTCCTCACTAAACACAACACAAATTATGGTCAAGTGATAAAAACTCTATCCTGCAACTTAACCACTGTATACTGGACATGCTACATTAGAGGTGCTGTGGGAGGACAGAGGGAGAAATTATGACGATTCATCATTGAATATGGTCAGAAAAAAGGTGTTCAAAGTGATGCAAACACCTATCTGCTGTCTCACATCCATTAAAAGCATGAACCAGGCGTTAGACAATTCACACACGTATTCTGTGTGTGGTCACTGATGTGTGTTTTTATTTACATAAGACAAAAACAGATCGTTAGTTGTCATTGGACTGAGTTTGTCTTGATCATATTTGAGGTGTGTTAAATGTGGTTCAGTGTCATTGTTCTGCTTTAAACCATGTATGCTCAACTCATGAGAAAGTTGTGTTTATATACCCATTGAGTTTGTAAAACTGAACAGGGTCATATTTTGGTGCATTTAAGCGATATCAGTACTTTTTTGTTTGATACTGTTGACTGAAAAAGTTCACTCTGAACCATTTGATACATTCTGTAACACGTTCTCACTCCCGACGCGTCAACAGACACTTGGTCAGGGACTGTCCGCGTACAGTTTTGACGCATCGGGTACTCCCCTCGCGTCAGTCCTTGCTGTCCACGGCTTTTCCAGGTTGCGCCACGTACCCCTAATTTACACTACATGTGTTACGGCTCCGCTCCGGTCCAACCTCCGCAGCAAATACGCACCCATTATAATCAATGAGAG